TCATATTGGGTTTATTTTTATGTGTTTGAGTGTTTTCGCATGAATGTATGTCTATGCATCATGTTTGTGTCTGTGTCCTCAGAAGCCAGAAGGTGGCTCTGCTGGGATTTGAACCCCCAGTTCTTTAGAAGACCAGTTAGTTTTCTTAACCACTAAACAAACTCTGCAGCCCCATCTTTCCTTCTTTCTGATTTTTTATAAATACACGAATTGTCACCTGCAAATACAGGATCTTATTTCATCCCTCCTAATAAATAAATATTTAACATATACACCAAGTTGGCCTTGAACTCACAGAGATCTGCTCGCCTCTGCCTCCTAAGTGCTGGGTTATCTGGGAAGTCATGGTACATTTAAAAAGGGTTCCCTTCCTCATTAAAATGCAGCCCAATATTCTTCAGTATTTGTTGTAATGACCTAGGCTTTTAAGTTGCCACAGCTTAAACTCATAGCTGGATGGAGCCTTCCAACACATGAAATCCCCCAATAGCTTCTAACTGTCAGATTGTCTGCACTTACTTTCCAAAAATTAATCAATTACAGTTCAGATTTTCCTAACCTGACACTGGTTCCCACATAGGTATGTGCTCCTGTATCATTGTCTGCCCAGCTATCTGTCTCTTTATTCTAGAGGAGATGATTTGGCCTGTGATACTATTTCTCTTCTGGATTTCAGAACAGTTGATTGTTCAGGCTTTCCCTGTCAGGACTAAGTGGCGACTTCAAAGATCTTTACATGCAGTTTTTTCTTTGAGTCAAGGTCTTGCTATGTAGTGAATGCTGGTTTTAAACTCGAGTGATCTTTCTGCCTGCCTCCTGGGTGCTAGAATTACAGACATGTACCACCACACCCAATTTTCGTTTATTTTAAAATTCTACACAGAACTTAGGTTGGAAGGCGGTTTAACTAGCACGCACAAGCCCCGGGTTTCATCTCAAGCACCACACAAACCAGGCAGAGTGGCACATGTCAGTAATTCCAACACTCAGGGGATGGAGGTAGGCAGATCAAAAGTTTAAGAGCATCTTCAGCTACATAGTTTCGGGCCAGTCTGGGCTATATAAAATGGTGCCTTAAATAAATAAATAAATAGATAGATAGATAAATAAATAAATAAATAAATAAATAAATAAATAAATTCTATACCAGAATGAATAATTCATAGGGCCAATGAAGTGCTTTCTTAGCATATGAAAGGCCCTGGACTCAATCCCTAGTATTGAAAAAGGAGAAGAAAAAAAAAAAAAAACCTGAGTGATTTATATAGCACTATATTATATTTTGTATGCTATTTTTTTTTATTCAGGGCTGGCTACTGGTCCTAGGGCTTTTGGGCACCACTAACTAAATCCACAACCCCTTTCCTATGCTTTGTATTGCTGCTATGTGCTGTCCATCTGAACTTGAGTATCCCTGTTTGAACTCAAGAACTTCCTTTGGCTTTCTTTTTCTTGTTTTTGTTCTGCTTTGTTTTTGAGGCAGGGACTCCTTATGTATCCCTTGCTGGCTTTGACCTCACAGAGATCCACCTGCTTGTGCCTCCAGAGTGCTGGATTTAAAGATTACGTTCCACCAAGTCCTGCTTTTTTTGGTTAAGACAGGGTCTCAATCTGTAGCCCAGGCTTGTTGGACCTGATCCCTACTGAGTTGCTGGGATGCAGGGATTGAAGACATGCATCATCAAAGCAGGAAGCACATCTTGTTCATCAGGTCTAGGTAATGAATTTCCTTGTCTTTTATCTTGGAAAGTCTTCATTCCTCCTCCAGTTTTTGAAGGACACTTTTGACAGGTGTAGCATTTTCTTTGGCTGTATTTTTTTTTTTTTTCCTTTTCCTTTCAGCAAGCAATTTGAGTATGTCATTGAGCTGTCTTCTTGGTTTCTGCTGAGAAATTCCTTCATAATATTTTGGGAAATCCTTGTAACAACTTGCTTCTCTCACTGTTTTCTTTATGGTGTTTGAATTATAATAATTCTTAACATGAGTGTCTTTGGCTCTTCTCCATTGGAATTCCCTGGGCCTCTTGGCCATGGTTATTCATTTCTATCCTCAGATTTGGGAAGTTTTCAGACATTATTTTTTAAATACGCTCTCTGTCCTTCCCCATCTCCACTTTTCTGTTTCTGAAACTCCCATAACACATCAGTCTACTTGATGGTGTCCTGTAAGTCCCTTAGGATTGTATCACTTTTTTTCATTTTTATTCTTCTTGAGACAAGGTTTCACTTGGTAGCTCAGGCTGGCCTGAAACTCAATACATAGCTCAGGCTGGCCTGTAACTTCTGGTTACTCCTTGCTTCTGGCCTCCCTAGAACTGGGATGACAGGTACATGCTGCCATGCCCTGTGCTTGATTTTTGTTTCTCTGACCTGGCAATTTCAAATGACACACTGACTGTGAGTCTGTAGATTCTTTTTTATATTATTCGGGCTGGTGAGATGCTCAGCGGGGAAAGGCACTCTCCTCGAAAGCCTGGAATGTGAAGGAGGAAGGAGAGAGAGAACTGACTCTGCAAAGTTTTCTTCTGGTTTCCACATGGGCTCGCTGGCACGTGCCCCCTGCCCCCTGCACGTACATCATGCGCACATATAAAAATAATTTTTCAGAAAAAATGTCCATTAAAAAAATCTCATTTCTTTAAATTGGGGATGTGGTGCACATCTGTAAAAGGACAACTTTCTTTATGGTTTTGTTTTTCTTTACTCAAGACAGGTCTTCACTATGCAGCCCTGGCTGTCCTGGTATTCCTTCTGTAGACCAGGCTGGCCTCAAACTCAGAGATCCACCTGCCTCTGCCTCCCGAGTGCTGGGATTACAGGTGTGTGCCACTATGCTCAGCCTTAATATTAATTTCAAAATACATATATGTGCCTACATACGCACATATGAGTTTATGTGTGCCGTATGTGTGCAGGTGCCTATAGAAGCCAGAGCGTCTCCTGGAATTCACTGGAACTGGACTACAGGTGGTTGTGAGCCACCTGATTGGCTGCTGAGAACTGAACCCAGATCTTTGCAAGTTCTCTCAACCACTAAGCCATCTCCCCAGCTGCAGAGGGTAACTTTCAAGACTCGGTTTTCTTCTTTTACTGTGGCTCTGGGGATCAAGGTCAGGTGTCAGGTGTGTGCAGCGAGGTATTTTACCTCTGGCCTATGCACATTCTTTTGCTTCCTCAAGTCAGTTATTAAAACCCTCTGGTACAATTTCAGTTATGATAATTTTCCATTCCAGAATGTTTGGCTCCTGAAAGTTCCTCTCTATTGATATCCTCAGATTCTTCCGGCATCATTTTTCTGACTTTTAGTAAATTCCATTCATACTAGGAAATGCCTTCAATAATCAGCTCACTACATTCTGGGGAAAAGTATGTTTTCCAATGATTTGGAGGAGGATGTAACTTTAATTAATTAAGCAATAACTAATTTTGAGACAGGGTCTCTCTACATACCCTTTGCTGTTCTGGAACTCCCTGTGTAGACCAAGATGGCCTCAAACTCAAAAGATTCACCTGCCTCTGCCCCCCAAGTGCTGATTTTAAATTAAAGGCGTGTGTCACCATGCCTGGCTCCAGATGTCACTTCTCATTAGGGGTTTTAGGAGGTCATAATCTCTTACGCCCCCTGGTGTTCACTTTATTCCTGCAGGCCTTCAGGCACTACAGCAACATGCTTGTTCGCCTTCAAATTATGCTGAATTACATGTCCAAATATTTTTGTTTGTTTGTTTGTTTGTTTGTTTTTCTCTTTCTTGAGACAGGGTCTCACTATATATCCCTGGTTGTCCTGGAACTCGATATGTAGATTAGGCTGGTCTTGAACCCAAGAGATCTGCTTGCCTCTGTCTCCCAAATCCTGGCATTAAAGGTGTAGCATATGCTGGGGTACAAGTCTTAAATTAAGGTAAGCCTGATCACATAGTTCAAGAAAAGAAGTGGGAGGGAAAAGAAGAAAAAAGGAGGGGAGGGAGAAAGAGAGGAGGGGGAGGAAAGGTATATGAAATACAAATGCTTTGCAAACTGTAAAGTGTTCTACACACACAAGGGTATCATATGAGAAGCCTCCTACCATTTAAATTTAAGTTACACTTATTATGTGTATGTACACATGTGCCAAGGCATGCATGAGGGCAGAGAGTACTTATGGGAGTACTAACATGTGGAGACCAAACTCAGGTCACAGGCTGAGGAGCAAGCACCTTTACTTCCTGAGCCATCTTGCCAGCCCAGTCTTCTATAGTTTAAATCAAATTTATAAGCCTTGGGCAGTAGAATCAATTTGTGGTCATGGCATTTAGGGCCTTCATTAGCTTGGACAAGTCACTCACCGTCCGTGATCTTCTCTGGCAGCCTGCTTACCTATATGTAAAGTGTGGATACATTTCTACCTCTCAAGGTGTCTGTGAGAATTCATTTGAGTGTAAAGTTCCTAGTTTTCCCCATCCAGGCTGAGTGGCAGCGTCCCATACCAACGTCAACTCTGGTACCAGAATCACACTCTGGCAATTGCGCACAAATAAAGAGTACTCCTTTATCCAGGAAGGCAGGACCCAGATTAACAGAAGAGATTGGAAAGGGTGTCTTGTATTTGATAAAGGAAAGCTGGGTGAACACTGAACTTCCATTTGAGAAACTGGTATGTGAAGCCAGGCCTCAATCAGGACAGGAAACCAGGCAACCTGTCTGAGCCCTAGGGCGAATCTACTGCTATTAATGGCACACTGCAATTTTTATATTACCCATTCCCAATCCCCTGCTCCTTGCCACTGCCATTTTTCCTAGCCACAAAAGTGTTCAATCAATATTCTGAAGTTTTAAAAGGTCCTCATCTTGATACGGCTTCCAAGAGCAAAGAGGTCAAGGTTGTTTCAAGAGGCCACACTAGCACCCACCTCTAAGCCAGCCTCCTTCAAAGGCCAACAAAGTTTATATGCAAAGCATATGGATGAGCTGAAGAAACCAGGGTCTACCTTCCTTTCCACTGTTTCATCTTCTGTGCTTGAGGGTTTCTGTGGCAACTGAATGAGATAGCACATGGCATGTAAAACCAACAGCCTGTAGGGGACATCCAAGTGACTCATTTCCTCTGTCTCCTCCTCTTTAAAATCTCCAGAGGCTCCGCCTGCTGTCCTTAGCATTTCAGAGGAGCCACCACCTGTCTTGGAATTCAACTTCATTGCAGAATGGCTGCCCTGGAACAATCTCCCTGGCTCCCCATGTCCCCAAATAAGTACACAGGTCCTTTAGATTGAAGTGCTTTACTGGCAGTCACTAAGGAGACAGATGCAAGGTGGGATGAGGAAAGCAGGTAACAAACATGGGAGTGTGGAGGTCCCTGGATTGTGGATCCCTGAGGCTTCCTTTTCATTTTCACTGAAGGACCACTAGCCTCTTCTCAGACCAAAGAGGGCCCTCCCAGCCTGGCGCTCTAGAAGCCGAGGAGGGAAGAGGCACAGCAGGTAGGAACTCACAGGCCACTGCAGTGTGGCTCACACCATGGAGGACCTGCAGGCAGTGATGCCATCTCGGGTACCACCCCCACAGCCAGGAGACAGATGCCCCAGTGATAAGAGCATGTCCTGAGCCTATCCCACTTCCCCCACCCCTGAGGAAGTGAAGATGGGACACTCATTTTCCAAGGCAGGAGACTGCTGGGAAGAGGCGGGATTTTACTCAGCCCCGTCTCAGGAATTCCTGACTTCAAAGGCAACAAGGGACCATTCCACAAAGTGAAGGGTTTGCAGTCCAGGTGCTAAAGGCCTCTTTCTCCCATCAAGGTGGGCGACATGCGCTCCCTGACTCTCTGAGCAGGGCTCCCGTTTAGCTAGAATCTTTCTCGTCCTGCTCGTCCAAGTGTGTTTTCTGGTGCCGGATGAGGTTGGAGCTGCGGGAGAAGTGTTTCCCGCACAGCGTGCACCGGTACGGCTTCTCCCCTCTATGCGTTCTCTGGTGTGCGCCGAAGTTGGAGATATCGCTGAAAGTCCGCCCACACTCGGCGCACTCATAAGGCCTCTCACCCGTGTGGGTACGGTGGTGCACCCCGAAGCTGGAGCTGTTGCTGAAGCTCTTCCCACACTCGCAGCAGATGTAAGGTGCTGGCTCCAGGTGGGTTCGGCGATGCACGGCCAGCGTGGCACTCTGCCCGAAGCTCTTGCCACAGATGTCACAGCGGTACGGCCGTTCGCCCAGGTGATCCTGCTGGTGGGTGGTGAGGTCCGAGCGCCGCCGGAAACTCTCCTGACACTTGGCACATTGGTAGTGCTTCTCTTCCAGGTGTATCCGCTCATGCCGGATGCGGTTGGAGCTTCGGGAGAAGCTCTTGCCGCACTCGGAACACTTGTATGGCTTCTCGCCGGTGTGGGTCCGCTGGTGTGTTCTCAGGTTGGAGGTGTTGTTGAAGGTCTTGCCACACTGTGCACACATAAAAGGCTTCTTATCTGCCTCCGGGTTTGAGAAAGTAATGGGGTCCCCGGGGCCTCCAGCTTGGGCAGGGGCTCTCAGCGGCGGCTTTTTTGGATGTGTTCCTCCGAGCCCCTTCGACAGACTCCCCTGCCCACATTCCTCCCCAGATGCGATCCGAGAACCCTCGGAGCCATCCACTCTCCAAGGCTTTCCCCCTTCTCCTTCCTCAGGCACATGTGCTTCTGGACTCGGCTCCTTCTCACTGCCCATCTCTGAACCCTGAGGATGAACACAAGACGTCCAACACCTTTATTCCTTGTGTCAGGCCATCAGAGCACAGAGAATCTTGCCTTCTGGTTGAAGCAGTGTATACCTCCCCCACGAATAACCTCAAATAAATGGAATACTTAAAGAAAAGCCTTTATTTACTCCCTAACTCCCAAGTGTCAAACTTTCACAGGCATTTAAGGCTACCTGCCACTAACAGATGTGCAATATGAATGTCGCTCTTAAGAATTAAGCAATGGCACTCGAGACTATGATTTCTGTGTAAGTAAAGGTACTTCCATTTAGAGACGAATTGGACTTCTTCCTGTCGGGTAGCCATCTACCCACTGATTCTGAGATGAACATACGTAACTACAAGCAGTTACTTACAAGGCCTGATGCTCTGACAGCTCATTCCTTTCCAGACCTTTTCATCATCTACCAACTGGTAAACAGACCACACATGTTCATATATACACAGCTACGTTCTTAAGTAACACACAGCTATGCTCACACCAAACACATTCAGCTACATCCTATCACACCACATACATAACTAAACACACTGACATCAGCTATACATACCACATGCATTCACATCACACAGGCAGCCAGCATTCTGACATTAGCCACAGAGACCACATCCATAGTAGACATAGCCACATAGAATGTACATGTCCTCCAATACACGCACAAGTATATCCAGAATGCTTGTCATACCTTCTTGTGTCTTCTCTCGCTCACTGCTAAGGTTCCTTAGGAATCTTTTGATTTGTGCCAGTTTCTCCTTTGTAACAGGATGCTGTGCTTGTTTGTATAACTACTTTTTCACACATCTGTTCTCAATTATCATTTATAAGCAACTTAAGGGACTGGGTCATTGCAGTAACTTTCCACAGCACATGGCTGGGTGTTCAATTGTTTTTCTGAGTGAGAAAAGAAATAGATGAGGACTGTAATGTCTGGCCCTGTTGACTCTGCCTACAACTTTAGGATCTATATACAAGAAGCTATGCGGCCTCCACTAATTCTTTTTTTTTTTTTAATAGACCGAGTTGGGGGCTGGAGAGTTGGCTTAGGTGGTTAAGGGCACTTGCCGCTTCTCCAGAAGACCCGGATTCAATCCCCAGTACCCACATCAGGTATCTCACAACTGCCTATAGCTCTAGCTCCAGGGGCTCTAATGCCCTATCCTGGTCTCCTGAGGCACCTGCACACATGTGGTGTATATACGTGTGTTTGCCTGTGTGTGTATGTATAGTCAGGTGCACACACGTGCATATAATACATTTTTTAACTGAGCTGGAAAAAAAAAATGACTCAGTAGGTAAAGACACTGGTGACCAAGCCCGAACACAATACAGAAGGTTAAGTTCCAGGGGACAGACAGTGCACACCGGTCTTCCCGGCCCGCTCCGCACATGGTGCATTACCCAGCAGTCAGGAGTAGTTAACCTTTTTAAAGGCCCTGCAGAGCACTAGACCTAGGGCTGAGCGCTCCGCATGCCTCGTCTCAATTCATTTTCACACCCCTGCCGCCCGACTGCTAGGATTAAAGGCAGGTGCCACTACATCTGGCTCACCTACTCATTTTTCATACTTATTTTAGAAATGACGAAACCGAAACTCAGAGAAACTAAGTCACTTGCCCGAGAGCACACAGTAAAAACCGAAGCCTCTGCTGCATCTCTCCAAAGCTGAGGTTTTTAGCCACTACACTAGTACTGGAGGGAGACAAGGACGAAAGAAGAGAAAAGGTGCTACAGCAGTTAGGACGCACAGACATTTCTCTGAAGAGGGCAGGAAAGCAGCTTCATGGAAGAAGTGATACTTGAACTATGACTTCCAAGATAGACAGATGACCAAGACCAAGACTGGCAGCGACAGGGGTCTATTGCTGACTGAAAAGGCAATGCAGCTAAAATACAAAGTCATATTCACATTGCATCTCAGAGATCTGGAGGAGAAGACACCTAGGGTATTCTGGGTTTTCATCCTAGGAGCTCAGCAGCACAGAGCCGGGAGCAGCAGTACAGAGGGTCCAGCTCTAAGAACGAGGCAAGAAGTTGAAGCTTGGCGATCGCAGATGATGAAGGACGAGAGCCTGGGTTAGAGGGGACAGGCCGAGCTGTAGTCTGAAAGATTAAAAGTTCTCGATCTGGGTACAAATCAAGGACACCGGGGTTAACTGGGAAGGACCAGGGACAAGGTGTGGAAAATAAAGAAGCACTCACGGGAGCTACATAGCAGGTCAGAGATGGAACCTCAAAGGAGCCAGAGAATCTGAAGTGGTCAGGGAGAGGGGACAAAGGCTGCAGCAGTGTCCAAAGAGGCTGAGTGGAGAGGGCAGGGGGAAAGCTCGAGGAGTCAGGGTATAGCTTCCTGAAGATCGGGAGCTGGGTTCGGAGATGCCAATGGACTTTGGGGCTGGAGGTGGAAGCACACGAGGGGCGACCCTAAAGATACGGTGTGTGGGAGGGGCATGGAGTGGTCCAAGGCCAACACTAAGGGAGAGTAGTAAGGCTGGGCCATCCGAGCACTCGGGACAGGATCGCGGCGGAGGGACACACGGCCCCCGGCGACCTGTGAAACCCGCGAAGCAAAACAGCAGCTTCCAAGCCCTTCGCGAGAGCGCCCCGCACGTCGCGTCCGCCTCCCCCAACGTCACCTAAACACAGCCGGGACCCACCTCACTCCCGCAGCTCGCTCGGGGACAGCACCGCCTCGGTGGGCGGGGTAAGGAGCCGGAGCCGGAACCCGGAGAGGACCCGCCTACTCAGCGTCAGGATTGGGTTCTGGGAACATCTTTCCTCTCTATTGGTTACTGTAACTGCCACATTGCAAGAGAAGTAAGCCTGATGGCCAATAAACATTGACCGAGGCCGCGGCATGCTGGGAGTTGTAGTCCTGAGGCGGTCTGCTTCACTGAAAACATTTGCCCTCTTCAGACCACAGCTGTGAAGCTGTCTTCGCTTCTGAAGTCATCAGCTTTCTTTTCTCTTCTTTTGAAATGGTGGCCCTCGATGGAAGCGTCACACTTCATTTAAGACTTATGGTTTAAAATTAAAAGAGCGTGTGCCTGGGAAGAAGTTTAAAGTAATCCGATCTCCTTGTCCAGGAAGCTAAGTTTCCCCTTCCAAGGACTGAGCTCCAGCCAGGTAGGCCAGTGGCCCAGCGTAGGGATTTTTCTGTGTCCTACGTGATCCTCCTTTAACCCAATTGTGTCCCATCAATCTGGATACAATAGACCAGTTAGGTATCCAGAGCTGGATTTTATTTTTTCGGATTTTATTTTGAAAAACAATTAAGATTAGGAGCTTGCAAAATAAAAAGGATAAAGACTGATATGTACGCTAAATGCAAGCTTTTCCTGTTTGCCTGGTCTTTCAGTGCTTGTCTTTGGAGCTGGAAAAGCTTGAGGGCTAGCGATAGCTCAGTGTTTAAGACCACTTAGAGCCCTTTCGACCTGGGTTCGATTCCTAGCATCCACACCAGACAGCTTACAACCACTTGGAACTCCAGAACCAAGGGATCCAATGCCCTCTTCAGGTTTCCTCGAGTACAAACACACACACACACACACACACACACACACACACACACACACACACACA